ATCAGAAAACGTTCTAATGTAAAGCTGGATACTGACTCAGGAAAGTTGGTGAAAATAGCATCAAAACCGACTTATGTGGGTAGCAAGATATTTAATGAAGACTTGGTTGGTGTAAATGTAAAAAGACCAACAATTAAATTAAATAGACCATCATATGTTGGCATGTGTATTCTTGATCTTTCTAAGACACTCATGTATGATTTTCATTATAATTATATCAAAAAGAAATACAATTACAAAGCTAAACTGCTTTTTACCGACACCGATTCACTGACTTATGAAATACAGACTGAAGATGTATACGCTGATTTTTATCAAGACAAACATCTATTTGATAGCAGCAATTATTCATCTGAAAGTCAATTGTATAAAAAAGCTAATAAGAACGTTACGGTAAATTCAAATACGAAGCAGGTGGTAAAGTCATAACTGAATTTATTGGCTTAAAAAGCAAAATGTATTCATACATCAGGGATGATGGATGCAATAATAAAACCGCCAAAGGCGTGAAAAAGAATATTATTCAACAAAATATTAAACATCAAGATTACAAAGACATATTGTTTAAAAGCTTACAAATACATAGTAAGATGAAAAGTATTCGAAGCGACCACCATCAACTCGCTAGTTATGAACTAAACAAAGTGTTCTTGTCATGCTTCGACGATAAAAGATATATAAAGTCAGACGGCATCAGCAGTTATGCGTATGGTCATTACCAAAGTCAGTACGAAAATTTCGCAATTTGAATCTTTTCTTTTCCTTCATCTGATGTGCTTGTATTGCTTCTATGGCTTTCCGTGGAGTATTTTCATACTCGATTGCTTTTCGGTAACAACGTACCGCTCCTTCGACTTTTTCAAGGGTATCATCCCACTCTTTCAAGTTGCAGTTTGGTAAGTCTCCATAAAAGTTTTCTTCTTTTAAGATAATTTCATAATAAGAATGATTAACAATATAATATCGAGTCTTGAATAAGTTTTGATTTGCGTTGTCGAGACGATGATTTAATTGTTTGAGGGTAATTGGCATATTATGAATTTTAAAACGAAATGCATTATCTTATAATGCTTTCAACATTGACATAAACGGAAATGCCGCAAGGCATAATAAAATATTATTTTGTAATAGATAATGAACACAAAAATCATTTTTAATTGGAACTATATTTCAAAAGATTTATCTTTAGATGGGATCAGAGAACTAAAAGCATATTATTATGCTAACCAATGAAAATATTAAGCATAAAAAAGCTTTTAAGCACTATAGAAATTGTAAGTTAATGGGTAACTCATTGTCTGTGGTATTTGCAGGGGTATTACGTTAGTAGCAATTAGAACAGCAGCTGTATTGATATAAGTGGTGATGAAACATAAGAATCTAGATTTAAAAATCCAAAATTGTCTGTATGCATAGCAAAGTTATCAGCATTTGCTTAATACCATTAAAAATGCAATGAGATCTGGCAGCTTTGACAGAACCCACTTATTAAATAACATGAATAGTTTAGATAACTACGTGTGTGATAATAGTACTGTGGTTGTCAAATATTTAGAAATGCACAGTAAATATTTTTATGTTAGTGAAAATCATCCAATGGAGCCCAACTGTTGAAGTCATCACAATATCCTTTCCACTTGACTGATGCTCTTTTCTTTTTATTGTTTCTCCTTATTATTCGAGTGTAATAACAAATGGAGTCAGAGTGGACGTTACTATTTGTGTTTGTCAAAGCTAATGCAAAGTCTTGAGTTCAGTTCACTAGGACCCGTCTCTTTTACTTATTACTATCATCTCGCCAGCGCAGAGAGGCGGACTGTTTACAGTTGTCAAATGTCTTCTCACGTGTTGTCCTGTTTCCTATCTGATCTATCACATAAAAATTACACATGCCCGTGAAGTCAAAATGCTCTCCCGGATGAGTTATAAGTCGGGACTAAACTACGAATGATCTTTACTACGATCAACGGTGGACTGTTGTTGGTTGTCTATGTCAAGAGAGTCTGCGAGTAAGTCACCATCTATTATTTTCAACGAATTTGTTTTTAAGTCTTTTAAAGCAAAATGTCTCTCGTCTCAGCTAACGACCAAACGGCTAGAGATCGCAGCCCTGTGCAGGTTTGACTGTTTTCGCGAAAATCGTTTTGTTACCTGAGTTCATAAATCTGTGTCATTTCAACACAGCACGGCCACATCTCATGCTATTTTAAGCCAATTTCTTGTGTCTCTACCGTGGTAGAAGCTCCTCCAGTTTCGTTTCCCATAGCACAGTAAGAACAAATTCCGCGACTCAGAGCAGCCCCTCTGCAACAACTTCCGCTAGCTTGTCAATGTACTAACTATACAGTAACAGGGGTATCCTGCTCGAATCTCCAACTTAACAAGTACACAGATCGCGAAGGGGTGTCTAGGTCAGTTTTATTATCATTTGGGCATCGTCGCTTGACGCTTTTCATCGCACGGTTCAACTGGTTTGCTTAGCCATAATGTCACATGAGATAAGCGTCATTTCATTTATCGAGCTCCAGTGACTATCACACAGTACTTTTAAAACTCAAACCTCTCCCCTCTGTGCTCATTTTGGCTAGCATTTTAAACTGAACGAACAAGGCAGCCACAGGGCTCTACGCAAAAATACACTGAACGTCATTCAGTTGTGGATGGTAAGTGATGTAAGCCTCATTTGTTTAATGTAATTTGATCCAAGCAGGAGCCTTATATGCCGTAGGTAAGTCTCTTGATGATTTTCATACCATGAGCTTCTCTTATGTGGAAATGAAAATGTCGCTGACGATAGTTGAAATATGGTTTATTTTCTCAGCCGGATTTTCTTGTTATGAGGTCTACTTCCTGATACCGCAATGATTCCTCAATGATACAAATGCTACATTCGCCTTGGTTAAGCTGAGGTGGTGCTTATGTTCCAAGTTTATTCCAACACTTACTCAACCATACGAGTATTAG